TTTTGTAGATGCAAGTAGTCCATTTAAATTATTTGCTACTCAAATTCATTAGTAATTTTTGCATAATAATAACTAATAAAATACTTTAAGAGAGTATCTCCAATTGGTTTAAAGCACATTTATTACATACATACATACATACATACATACATACATACATACATACATACATACATACATACCTGTGTTGTGATACATTATAATATAATTGTTGTGAATACATTTCATTCATGAATAAAATTAAAGAGCAAGTTTATAAACTGAAATAAACGTCATTTCTTGGTCTCTAGGAACACACAAAATCTGATGATTCAGGAGCAAAATGAACTGAAACTACATGAATACTATCTCTCTAATCTAGGTCAAACTTCCTATATTTGTAGCCCAGCAGCAAATGGATAATTTTCCAAAGTAAATTCTCTGAAATGTGTTCCAGCTATTGTGTTCAAAACAAAGAGGTCTGATTTGGGATCATATCATTCCAATGCATCACATACCATTTCCAGTTTGGGGCATTAACTTCGGGAAGTCTCCAAATATTGTTTGGAATGGCATCAGCCAAAAGAGGTTAGTATGGTTCAAAAGAAATGGAACATTATTGAGATGTTTATAATGTATGTTCTTGCATTAACAAATTCTGTGCATCCATATAATACTGGTATGATTTTACTTAGAAGGTAAAACTTTCTCCTATCCAGTCATGTCTAATTTTATGGGGCCATACTTATCTCCATTTCTTAGCTGAGGGAGCCAGCATTGTCCAAAGACATTTTCATGGTTATATGGCTGGCATGATTATATGCCAAGGTGCAGAGAACTCTGTTACCTTCTCATCAAATTGGTACCTATTTATCTACTCACATGTGCATGCTTTTTGAACTGGGTTCAACTAGATTGGCAGGGACTGGGGCAAGTAATGGGAGCTTATCCTGTCTCATGGTGTTCAGGTCTTGAATCCAGGCTGGATTTTCCAGATGACAACAGCTGAGCCATCACACCCCCATATGATTTCATTTACATCAGATTATGAGGAAAATAAGCTTCTTTCACAAGCTGTATCTGAGCACTTCTTTAAAAAAATACAATGCACATTTATTCTGGCCTTATTAAAATAACACTTTTAAATTTTACAGCTAATAAAATAGAAAGGGCATTTTTTTTCCTGTACTAAACATGTAAGAAAGCTTGAATTAATTTCAAAATTAAGTTTCATATACCACTTTCCATTTGGTCTAATTATGAGGAATATATTTATTTTAATATGCACAAATAATACAAAATTATGCTGTTGCCTAAATTTAACCTTAATATTACTTTAAAGTTGGTACAGGTAAATTATTTGAAGTTAAAAATTAAATATTGCTTTCAATTTGGAAAATAATTCTTAATATTGTTTACTGTTCTTAGAACCAATACTTGTTCTATGAAATTTTCGAATTTAGTTTTACCTGGATACTGAAAATGCATGCTATCCTGATTGCACATCGAATTCCTTCCAGGCAAAGAGAGGCAACTTCTGTGTCATCACAATCTTGCAAACCCACACTGAACGCAGCTAGGAATGGTGTCCAGGCTAACTAAAATATAGAATTTTAAAAATGGCATATCACATTTTAATATTCAACAAAGTATAGAAAGCTAAGTATAGAAGTGACATAATTTACAATTTCTTTCACTTTTAATATATATTCTATTCAGCTTTATTTCCTGTTTTTTTAATCTTATGATAATTTATTTGACTTATTATTTCATATTCTTTTCCTGGGCCTAAGTATTATGCTGTTTACCACAAAAGAGAACAGTGAGATGGCTATTGATATATACCCGTGATGGCGAACCTATGGCACGTGTGCCACGTTTGGCATGCGGAGCCATTTGTTAGGGCACGCCAGGCGTTGCCCTGTCAGCTCCAGCACACGCTTTGGCCTTCTTTTTTGGCCAACTTTCACCCTCCAGAAACTTCCCTGAAGTCTCTGGAGAGCAAAAAACCTCCCAACACACAAGCTGGAAGTTCGGGAAATGACTCCCAGTTTGTGCGTTGTACTGTTTTTCATGCTCTGGAGGCTTCAGGGAAGCCTCCTGAGGGCAAAACCAGCCCTATGGGCAACCCAGACGTTCAGGAATGGTGACTTCTGGTTTGCCCGTAGCGCCATTTTTCGCCCTCTGGAGGCTTCCCTGGCTGCTGGTGACCTTCATAACAAGTGAACATTGCATCTGGGTATGCCTAGTCCTAATTCAATATCATATTCATTGCACAACTCAAATCTTAAATTGCTATTTTTTTTCTATATAAGAAGAAAAAAATATGTTTGCTGACTCAAATAAAAAAAGGAAAGTGTTAGGGTTTTATTATATCTTATTACACAAACTGCTACTCCTTTGTGGGCATAAATTATTGCCTTCACCACTACTAGAATGACTGACACTTGTTTTCTTGGTGATTTTTCACAGTGAATTGGAAGTTGGAAGTGATTATTTCAATAGTTAGAGGACATTTCTAAGTAATGGATTATGTTAACAGATGGAATTTTGTTCCCAAACTCACTAATCATAATCAAAACCAATTTAGTAATATGAAAATTATTTAGGGAAGTTATGAGACTCTAGCCAGACCATGACGGGAAGGTCTCACCCAATGCACATGCTTAGAGATTCATATATATGTGCATGTGACTGTATGTATGTATCTGTGTGACAAGGTTGATAAAAATGTAAGCTTCTCTAACTCATATCATTAAAAATACAATCTAACTTATATCATCAAATTTATAATACCGTACTGTTAACATATTTTGAATTGCCCAAAATTGTAATGCTAACATTATTTGAAAAATGATTAAGAACCAAAAAGATCTATTCTTCAGATGATTCGAAACTAAAAAAATGTTAACTTCCCCATATGAAAGATACAAGAATGAGAAACGAAAAGATTTACCTTGAACATGGGTCTTACATGTTCCAAGTGTGTTGCGCTTGTAAAAGGAGCTTGAACATGGCTTACTGCTTCCATCAATGCTTTAGCTGTTTTAGCCATTTGCTCCATTTCTAAATTATAAAGTAATCTTCTCTGCTTTTCACTAGGTACATCTGCAAGCAAATTATTGTAATGAAATTATTCACCATCCACATCACAAAGAATATTGAAATCATTTAACTATATTCACTATATCCAAATACTTTAAAGAAAGATAATCTTTTGTCGGAAATGACATTAAATATTTGTTATTTGATTTTTTTATTTAACATTGTTTTGGTAGCTATTTATGTTATCAATAATCAAAGAAGCTGTTGTTGAATATGTGGAGGCTAGAACTGATACAACATACAGTAGCCTAGGTACTTATCAGTATATCAAGGTTTGTCCATGTAAGACTACTACTACTGGACTGGCTGCCAGTTAGTTTCTGGATGCAATTAAGGGCATCAAAGTTCCAACCAGAAATAACCAGCAATTATCCTGTGAATAATAGTCTTCTGTAGTTACTTACTTTGTTTACTTGTTTTTGTGGGTATTGTTAGTTCTTTTGTTTCCTTCATTGAGATCTTCTTTCCTGCTATTTCATTATAAATAGCTGACAGATATTCTTCAGGGAGATCCTTACTATCATTGATACCTCTGTTCATCTTAATGTATTGTTCTTTGGTCATTTTATTCTTTACCTAAAAGTTAGAAGTAACATTCCAGTATTATAGGTAAAAGAAAAAAAATTATGAATGCTAATCAGAATCCAGTAAAAGATAAATTAAGTTGAGACGAATTTGATCTAAAGAAAGAGCTACACATTTCAGTATTCATTTTATTTACCACATCATGCCATATTTTTAGTCTTATTATCTAATTACAATGATAGTGGGTATATAGTTAATATATTTATGGCAGTACCCACAACTTTTTAGTTTGTATTTAAAGACATTCTGATTCAATCTGGATAAAAGGTTTGTATTAGTGAAGCTGTCAGAAAGGATCTTTTTCAATCCAGATGTTTAGATTTAAAAAATTCCTGCTCCCAGAGATTTGTTTTGCAATTCTGTTACAATCTTTTTGGTACCAGTTCAATACTTCATTCTTCTTTCATGATTTTTATTCTTTCAATTTTAAAAATATTTTATGCTTTTTAGCAATTCTGGTGTCCTCTCTATTCATTTTACTTGGATTTTGCTCTTTATACATTTTTTTATTATTTAGAAATTTTGGGATATGAACGTTGAACTTTGTGAACTGCCACAAGAGGCTGTTGGACAATATAGAAATGTAATGAATACATAAATACTATGACAGTATCTGATTGTCTATGTATCAAATTCCCCACACAGAAAATAAAACTGAAACTTCAGAAGCAGAAATTATATATTTCTGAAAATATGCACCAATTAAGAGAGGAAAAATGGGATAACACACAACAGAAATACTTATCTCAAGGCAGCATTAATGACCAAGTGAAAAGGAAAGAGTAGTAACTGAAATATCTATACATTTAATTCTTCATTTAAAGGCATTTTAAGAGATTTATGAAACATACCTGTGGGCTATGGAGATCTGTTGTCAACATAATAATTGAATAAGCCAAGACATATGCAGTGTCTGCACTAGCGAACAGAGTTTGCCTGTAAAAAATAGGTGCAGAAAGAGAGAGAAAAACATTTTCTCCATTGTCTGGTTTTAAGAAATATTTTTCCCATTATCTGGTTTAAAAAAAATAGAAGAGAAAAATGCTCACCCTTGATTACATTCCAAGTATCTAGCAGCAAATTTTTCCATTAATCTATCTATTTTCTGAGCCTCTCCTGGAAGACGGAAGCCTTCCAAAAACATACGCAGAGCAGAAACAAAATCCTTCACAGAAAAGTCATGCTGATCCACATATGCATACATAACTTCCTTGTTAAATTTATCATTGTCTCCTAGAAACTCTCCAACTTGAGTCTAAAATGAAAGAAAAACAATGAATTCTACATAGCCATATAAAACAATGAATTCCATATAGAACATATTATTGTATTCGTTTACTATGGCTTCCAAAACTAGATTAGATAGATAGATGGATGGATGGATGGATGGATGGATGGATGGATGGATGGATGGATGGATGGATAGATAGATAGATAGGCAGATATAGACAGACAGACAGACAGAATGACTGACTGACTATATAAGTCTTAGACCTTTCAGGTTCTATATTACAGGCAATACTTGACTTACAAACATTTGTTATTGACTGTTTGAAGTTATAACAGAAGTTAAAAAAAAGTAGCATGACCATTTTTCACACTTACGACCATTGAAGCATTCAGTGCTCATGTGATCAAAGTTCAGACACTTATCAATTTACAGTGTCCTGGGGTCATATGATCACTTTTTGATATCTTCTGGCAAGCAAAGTCAATGGGGAAGCCAGATTCACTTAACAACTATAAAAAGAAAGGTCATAAAATGGGGCAAAACTCACTTAACTGTCTTGCTTAGCAACATAAACTTTGGATAATTGTTGTAAGTCAAGGACTACCTGTATTTCTTCATTTAACTACAGGCATGAATTCTGATTTAAGAAATCAGAAGTATCAGAGTAGTATCAAAAAGTAGGTTTTTGTTTTTGACAAAAAGAGCATTGTGGCTAATTCTGGTTAATATTCTCTGCTTTCAAAAAGTGGGTGCTATCTTTTCTTCTTAAATGTTCAGCATTTTCTGGAACAGGTACCTTGAAAGGGGACAGAGATTTGTTAAATAACACAATAAAAAGAAGTAAGTTTTGACACACAAAAAAATGTACTCCGATGTCTTACTGATTGAGGAATGATGAAATGTTTGTTTTAAAAGAAAATAAAACTTTTGAACCCCAAAAGAAGTAAGTTTTTTTCAGAAGGAATCCCTTAAATACAAGGAACAAGTGCAGTGAACAGGTTCCACAGCCAATAAGCCCTTTTTTCTATACAGCAGAATGTTTTCACAATTCAGAGGAGGCTTCAAAGCAGGGGACATTTAGCATGCAGGGCAACTGCTTCAATTTGTTCTGTCACAAATCCCTTGGAATAAGTAGTCGCCTTGAGTATATCTGCATAAAGTCTTTAAACTATAGGAATAAGCCAATAATTGGAATCTAAGATTACTCATTAATCTAGATCAAATAATGGTGATTAGGTTTATAAAGGTAATTTTATTGAAAATGGACTAGTTTTCTTACAGAGTCTAATCTTTCTTCTTGATGCAAGAACTGGGCAATATCTTCAGAAGTAATACCAAGCATTCCTTGTTCTTGTAGATACTGAATTCCTCTCTTTGGCTTCTTATTAAATCTGCACATAAAATATGTTAATTGAACAATGATAGAAAATCTACATTTTCATATAAAAAAGCATTCAGAATAAATAGCATAATTATTTTAAAATAATATAAATATCAAATTAACCTTTATAGGAGCCTGGGGAGGGCAAAAAGAGCCTCCCCCGCTCCCTGGACGCCCTCCGGAGGCTTCAAGGACCTTCAGGAGGCGTCCCTGAAGCCTCCGGAGGGCTTAAACTGGCCCTACGGGCAAACTAGAAGTCACTTCCAGTTTGCTCGTAGGGTCATTTTTAGTCCTCCGGAGGCTTCAGGGAAGCTCCTAAAGCCTCCGGAGGGCCTCTGGGGGGGGGAGGTTCTTTTCGACTCCCCAGGCTCCTATAAAGCCTCTGGAGCCTGGGGAGGGTGAAAAATGGCTTTAAAAAAGGCTGAACTTAGCTGGCCAGCCTGCGCATAGGCGCTGGGCAGTTGACAGGGCAATGCCTCGCATGCCCTGACAAATGGCTCCACATGCCACCTGTGACACTCTCTGCCAGGAAAAATACAACTAACCTTTAGGCTATCTAGTTTCTGTATAATTGAAGAAATTTCTTATTTGGGGAACTGCTCCAAAATCAGATTGTCATTTGATTAACTTATTTTGACTGAATTCTATTGTTTTGTCTTATTTTATTGATTAGTTTATAAAAAAAATAAACATCCAGTTAAGAAACAACTATTACAATTGAGATGAGCAAACCCCTCCTCGCTATCTCCAGGGCTCAAAGTCTCCATCTTCACAAATAAAAGCCTCACATTGGAAAAATATGGGGCAGAAAAGTGCAGCAAATTTTTCTCTTAGTGAAACAAATTAAAACACTTTTACATTTTTCTCTTTCTCCCCTCTAGTTATCTAACTTGCCCAAAATCTACTCTGGAAGACCTTCCAACCATCTAAACAGCAATGGATAATTTTAATTAATGAACATTAACTATTGTAGTACAAAGTAAGGCAAACATATGAGTCTAGAAGAACATTAAGGGGCTAGGTATGCAAAGCAGCATGAACCCTCCTTCAAACATAAACATACAAATAAATCCACCCACTGTTTAAAATGGATCCCTATGCATTGCATAGAAAGAAAAACACAGCAGTTCTGAAGTCTTTTACTGAGAAAACAGCAACTTCAGTGAAAGAGATAAATCATGGTTTTTGCAAAATAGCAAAAATAGAATAGTTTTAATTTAACAGTTTAACCCTTACACACAATTGTGTGGTCTCCTCCACTAATTTGCTGCCACTGACAATAGTCTGCCCTCTTTTTCATACAGCCAAGAGATTCACCTACTGTAGCTGCATTAGGTTTTATTTCTTAAACTGGACCAATTAGCTGTCTTGGGACTGAAAATAAACTTTAGTAAATTTTAAAATGGCACGAAGGGTCTTGCATTTTATAATCTGTTGGGGACATGGATGAGAGCCTTGACTGCAGGGCTGCACAATACATTTTCAATGCTCCTTCAGGAACCATAACACTGAATTAGGATCTTTGACTTGTCTTCCAAGTCAGAGTTCCCCAACCTTTCCAGCTTTGTGGACCGGTGTCTGTGTGGAGAAAAGGGGATGATTCTGTGTAAGTAGTGGCAAGCACCTATGTGCTAGTGCAAATGGAGTGTGCATGCACACACTTGCTTGCTGCTCATGCAAATAGGGATATGTGCGTGCACAGATGCTCGGCCATTACTTCATGCGGCCCAGTTCTGAACAGATCATGACCCAGTAGTAAGCTGTGGCCAGTGGTGGTTCCGGATTCCGTTCCAACTGGTATGGTTGGAACAGCCCCTGAGTTACACATGTGCACACGCGTGCATGTGTTCTAGCATCAAATGACACTTCCGCAAGCCTTCCTGATGCTCTAGCTGCTCCACGGAGCATTGCGCAGGCACCGTACGCGCCATGCGCATGCACGGAAGCGCCAACAGCATAAAGCACCGTAAGGAGCATGGGTGGGCGGGCCCTCCGGAGCACCATACCAGAACGGTATCCGGTGCTCCAGGCAGGATCCGGTATACCCGTACCGGGGCGTACCGCCTACAACCCACCACTGGCTGTCGCCCAGGGTTGGGGATCCCTATTCTAAATGGAATTCTAATAATGGAAAGTATGTGTTACACTTCTTCACAGTTCTTGAAGTGTTAAAATTAATGATGTTTATTTTTAAGATTAGTGTTGTGGTATCTACTAAGATATTTAAAAGTAACAAAATGAAGAGATTGCTCAAAAAACAAGTAGAAAGTTCTTAAAATTCATCATACAGTGAAAACAATAAAACGTACAGATCTATTCCTTGTTCTATTATTTCTTTCTGTTGCTTTAGAACCTCAAATTGCTCTGGATTGTCTGTACCAGACATCTGGGTGCTATAGCTACCAATTCCAGAGGAGGCTGTGGAATCTAGGGAATTCAAGCTTCCATATCTGTTAATTGTCTCAGGATGTTTGGTTTCAGTACTTTCTTGCTCAGTGGGTTTTTCCTGTCCTGTACAAGAGAAGAAAAATAAAAGTATGTTTCTAAAGTACATTTATTGGCTAATAGCACACTAAACCTTATTAGTAGTAATGTTAAATATATGTGAAGTAAAAGATTTTACATAGTTCCAATAGCATAAATTTATGTTTAACATTTTGTAGAATGCACATAAAATAAGTTCTAAAGTGTTGTTCTTCTATATTTGCATCATTTAAAGCAGGAGTTTTCAATTTTTTAAATTTTTTTTTTAAATCCTGGAATCCCTAAGAGGGGAAGTTTAAGTGATAGAACAATGGCTGTGATACTTCTTCAGAACGAATAATTAACTTAGTTCAGCAAAATATGATGTAAATCCTAGAAAAGTTTTATTTATAATCATTATAATAAATCAAGTAATAATTTACCTAAGGTTGTTTGAGAGTTGGGATTTACATATTGATCCTTACTCCATTCCACCATGCACTTCAGTATTGATACTAAGCATTCAAGACCCTTCTTTCTCAAACTTAGCTCCTGTGTGTATAAAAACATTAAGATTGTTGATAGTTTTTAATCATTATTAATTTTTACAACTGAAAAATATGGCATTGTTCTTACCTGAATGCTAGTCATGCCAAGTTCTTGGCTACCTCTTCCTTGAGCAATCTTAGACAGATCATTAACTAGTCTTTCAAAAATATTTGCAGCATTTAAATCACAGTCATAATTTACATAAATGTCTACTACACTCTGGGCATCTGTAAAGAAAATAGAATTTACATTGAAATGCTTTTATCAAGTACAGAAATAAGTATAATAGTGAAAACCGTCAAACAAGCAAGATATCTGAACAGTCATGTTAAAGTCTATAACATGCCCAATGGAGTAATACCTGCGCATATCCGCGTCAATGTTTGAATAACCATCCATTTATGATCGAAGGAGCTAGTGGAAGTTTCTAAAATATATAGAAAAATCTCTTTGAAGAAAACCTAGGAAAAATAGAGATGTTATTTGCTTATTTGAAAAATTTCTGCCTTCTATACTTTTCATTATAAATAAATGTCAGATATACAGTATAGAAAACTACCTATGAGCCTTTCCCTGAGGAGACTTTCCCCCCGCCCCCCAAACAGGCGCTAACACCAGATATTTATGCTATTTTTCCGGGGGGGGGGATGTAGACCATTATTTAAGTTTCCTCACTTCATAACTTTATAATTATGTACAATGAAAAATATTCTATCAATGTAATAGACATATGTGGTAAAGATATATTTTGAATTAAACAAATGATTCATAAAGAAACTTGTGATAAAACATAGTCATGGAGCACACATCATCTAATTTTAAGCAGTAATTTGATTTACTTAAATATCTAATGCATTTAAATTCTGTTCAATTGATTTGAATGTCTTGCTAAACAAAACTGAAGAAGATACACTGAACAAATGTAAAAATAAACCTAAAACAACTACTTTCAATATAGTTTTCAGGATGGTGGACAGATCAATATAAAATTTTAGGGTCAATTGTCTGTGTTTCTTGGACTCTAAAGAACTACTTAGAAATATGTAGAAAACCTTGCACACCGCTGATAGTTAGACACATAAATAAATAATTTGTGTCACAAATTGAATTAAGAAATTTTTTCAATTTCAAAACAACTTGCTATGCTGAATAAGAAACTGTGATTTAAGACTCAGACATTTCATCAATCCTCTTCATGACTTTTTCAAATATTCAAAAGTTCAAACATTTTTTGCTTTTAGAATATATACACAAAATCAAAATCTGGCATTATTCAATCATTACTGCTGCTAAAAAAAAATTAATGCACAACCTGCTACATAACTGAAGATACATTACTGTATCTGGGGTGCCTAATGGCATCATTTTTTTTAAAGGAAAAGAAATAATAACAAATAGTCTCTTCTAACATTCCTATTAGCACAGATTTTACAAAGAAATTGCAATTTAAGATACCCCAGAGCACATCTATTAGATCCATATAATCTAATATGTGGAAGTAGGCCAATAATACCAGATATACTGATCTATATATAAGACTCTAACAAAATTTAAATTCAAATGTCAGGGGAAGAAAGAACAGAATAATGCTTCATTCTGAATAGTATGAACCTAAGATAACGTATCCAATTATATAATACTATAGTTTATTGTTCTTTTAATAGTAATAATTTGGGAACAATTTATATTATATATTGTTGTTTCAGGATAATGATTTGAATGCAAACGTCCAATCAATTGAAACAAGATTTTTAAAAAATTATACTTCAAGCCTCTCAATTACATCAGTTTATAGTACAATAAGTATACTTTTTATATTAAGAAATGTACATTACCTCAATTTGCATCTTCAAATGTGTCTTAAAATTTGAAAGTAAAGTCAGGAATATAGAAAGGGAAAGTTCAAATACTTCTGGAACAGATGAAACTCCATTTTTAGACAATGCTACACAAAGGTACTGCTTAATAGCATTAATAAACATTTCATTTGTCCTAAAAACAGGTCCTGCGTTTTGCAAAATAGATAGCAGCAACTGCAATGAAAGGATTTTTGACCGCAATTCATGTGACCTAGAAAGATATAATCTTAGTATGAGAAACAATTTATGGAGACATCTCTCTTTTTAAGAAATAAAAAGAAAAAATAATTATCCCCAATTCTCTAACTATTGGTAAAGAGCAGATACTAATACTAAATATTCAATAACAATATAAATTAACTAAATAATAAACTATGACTGACTTAGCTTAGATTAATATTCTTGTGTTTGTTGCTATAGCGCACAATGTAGTTTGTGTATAAAATCTCAAATTAATATACAGTTATATAGCTGATTGATTCATATATACTAAGTGTCAAGAACAACTCTTTTAAATAATTGTATAAAATACAAATAGAATATTTGTAGTTCAGGATTAAACTCTCTGAGAGTACCAAGGACCATACAACTATAACGTTCCATAATAATATATTGTACTACATTGGAAATGGGAGAAGAATTAACAGGCTATAACTACTGCTGATTTATACTTTTATGCCTTGAATATTTCCCACGAAAAATGGTGTCAACTTACTTTGGATCAGGGGGTCCATCTGACAAAGGCTTCATAGACAGTTTACACAGTGACCTGAATACTAGAAAGGCATCCTTTTGTAAAATATGGGAAAATTTAGCACCAGGTGTAGGTCCTGAAGAATTTCCAGATTCCTGAAATTAAAATATTTTCATTTTCAATTTATATAATAAAAATACAATGTAATTATTTTATAGGAGAAAAAAACAGGCTACACAAAATTACAATGAAACTTTGATTAACAGTATCTATAGACTGCCTTAACCTATACGGACTAAGGTGTAAATATATTTCTAGAAATGATTATTACTTAACATTTAACTTTAAAAAATAAACATATTTCTACAACTGCAAGTTTAATATTTTAGTTATTTTGTTTAAACTAGTCAGCATCACAAATTTATAGACTAACAGACAGAAATTATTATGGCTTCCAGAGCCCTGAATTTAACAAACCACAAACCAGCCTCGCAATTATATAGTCTTCTACTTCAAAGCCTTCTTTTTTTCCTCTTCCTAAAAGTACAACTAATCTTTAGTGGCATTATTTCCAATAATTAACAAATCTTTTCTTCATCACCTGAAACAAATTGAAAACAATTACAGGTTTTTTATTTTCATTTGGTTTTTTTTTAAACCCTGAGATTATTTTCAACTTGTTTCAGATCACAAATTAAATAAAAAACAATTAAAAACTATTTTAGATAGCCTTGTGATCACATTTAATACAGAAAAAATCTCAGCAATGCTAGGATACTTATCACTAATTATTATTTTGCAATATTTAAGTATTAATTTTAATCTAGATATATTTAAGTTATCATATGCTATATCTCTTTCATTTTTCTGCAATTCCACTATGCACATTATTTTCTTTTTTTAACATTGTATGTTTATCTAAGTAATGCATTCCTGTATACTTATGCTTATTTTGTTAATTCATTCCACAAATATAGGTAACTGATGAAGGTAACCATTCATGTCAAGAACTGATTTTCAAAATATTCATCTATTAAAATAAATCTGTGATAAGAATAGAATGAGCATTTCCCAAGGCACCATTCTGCTTGCCAACTGTGCTAGTGCTACATCTGTTCTAGGAAGAAACGTGATAATTACCTATCCTAACATGACCCTGAACAGCAAGCGTTGGTCATATTGGTAATTTACTGATTGAATATTTATTTTAGAAATCATATACTTGCAGAATAGGAACATATTTTCAAACAATACAATGAATGCATTCTTAGCATTGTATTCACATGTGCCAAACAATTGTGAAAGCAAATGTTTGCCAGTTATTAATGTAAAAGACATTAGCTCCAGTAAAAACATCAGTATTTTACCACATGCATACTAATAAAACAACTGAAAGAAAAGAGAAACTCTACTAAACATATGCACTTGGACTATACGATTTTACATTAGCAAGCAGCAATGAATTTCATATAGAGCTTTAAATCCATATGCAGAGCACAAAGGAAGTAAAAGTACAGAAATGGCTTAAGGAACAAATGTTGTTCATTCATGCACATGAATCTTTTGACACTGCGGTGAAAATAGAAAAAACATTAAAACTACTGTTTTGCAACAACATCATATAAAAGACTGGCTTACAGCATATAAATTATCTGTGTCCTATGCTTCTTATTGATTCACATAATCAAAGCACCTGTACTAAAGATACTAAAGATGATACCTTACAAGCTAGGTGAATCAGTTAACTGTAAATATTCCCCAAATCAGTTTAAAACTATAGTTTGCCATATTTTCAAAGTATAATCATTCATTCTTGTACCTGAGTATCATTGGAAGAGACAGATAACCTGTCATCAGGTAATGATGGTGTATACACAACAGAAATAGGTGTCCCAGGAATTCCATTTGCCTGGATATTTTCACTATCACTACCATCCTCTAAAGTACCTATTGGTCCATCAACCACAATCTTTTCAGTAAATCTCTCACCTATATCTAAAAGAAAAAAGAATTATGGCAAACAGTAAAATTATGGCATTTAAAAGTAATTATTTATACAATTAGAAGTACATTAAAACAACTCAAAATACATATTGCCACAGATGAGTTCTGAGTATACATATTGCCACAGTGTTTTATTCTTGATGCCATATCAACATTTGTTCAGCATTTCTTTAAAAATTAATGTAAATACTGTATGATTAACATTCTATATCATGATTGTTTTCTAGGTAACTCACAGCAGAACCATTATGATATGAATCAAAATATATTTAACTCTATCTGGGACACCAAGATGAATTGTCTAGGACTATTTTATAATTCACAATCAATCTGTAAATTACCTATAGGTTTTACAATAAATGCTTACTTTTTTTAGTTTTATCTTGACCAGAATCCAAACAGGAATTTTTTCACAGATTTGACAAAACATTTTGTTTGTTTGTATGTATGTATGTATGTATGTGTTTGTGTATATGTATATGTATAAATATATGTATATGTATATGCATATGCATATATATATATATACATATACATACATACATACATACATATATATGTAGTATTTGTGCTGATAAATAAATAAAGGGA